CTAATAAAATCCATTCGATTTGATAGAGTCAAAATTACCTAAGGTATATGGAATACTCATTCAATTTAGTATTTAAAAAGAATAAATGAATCAGTGACAAAGCATAAGTATATTAGTCTAATGGTTTTATGAATATTTAAAGAATTATATTATAGCGCAGTAATAATTATATAGATATTAAAGATAATTATCTAAGATAGTCACGTAGAATGCCGTTTATTTACAATACGATTACAAGTATTTTACTATTTTTATAAATTAGTCGCTATAATGGATCTATGTTATGTTTAAATTAGATCTAGCTAGTGCATAGAGAATATTCAATCGATATACGTCAACGGCCGAGATAAAAATTCATTTCCATTAAACATTGAATCCTTAAATGTATTACGTAGTTATTACCGAATATCAAGATCAATCATTCTTTAAACTAATCAATTAAAGTAATTTCATTTATAGTACGTAATAGATTAGATAATCATGTAAATTCACCTTTATTCGTCAAGTTGAGCCTTTATTATTTTTATCGCGGAGATCCATTATGGATTGTAAATAAAGCATTGTAAGTGCATCTGCAGAGTACGGGAATACATACTAATTCATTTTACGCGCCGAGTACATTAAACTGTTGGCAGTGGAAACTTGTTTACGAGACAATTTCCAAAGATTCGTAAAGTTATATTGTCGAGCCGCTAATGCGCTTTAAATTATTCATCGAACCGGCATTCAACCATTGGCGATTGTAAATTAAAAGACATAGTTGCTCATTAAATTTCTTTACTTCTGCGTAGCCATTACTCGCGGGTGTCTCGCATGTCCACTCGTTTTTTTTTTCTCCCAGCATTCCGTTTGAGTAAAAAGCAGCGAGTCGTAAATGCGTGCACATGTACGGTCGAGCCTCATTAGCCGCGTCACGGCTGAAAGCAAGTAAAGCTTTTGCTGTTCCACGAGAGAGAAAAAGAGCGAGAGAGACGAAATAAGATGAAAACGGAAGAATGTCGAGTTGCGTGTAAGAGAGGGACGCAAAGTCGGAAGGAGCGCGTAGGGAGGTATAGCGAATACTGCAATAACGAAGTAAAACGACGTCACGGGGGGCGGGGATGGGGGATGGAGAGAAGGGAAAAAACAATGCTCGACAAATTGTATTCTAGGCCGCTTACTCACAAACGAGTTTTTGTAAATTTATGTGGACTTTGCATAAAATAATGACTTTCACCATGTCGCCTGCTTTTAAACTACACGCAGTCAAATACACGCTTAGAAGATATGCGTGAAATTTCCCCTCTTTACATTTTCGGGGCTGTTGCTCAAGCAAAACCTCGTGTGCAATGAACACAAGCTTACGAGTTATCGCTCCTTTGCCTGATTGAGATAGATTTCTTGTAGATTTCCTATTTTTAAAATCTTCCTTCTTTTTTTTTCGCGCTTTTTACGCGCGACAAAAATTTTAAGAAATCTATCACATAGAATGTAGAATAATATGTTTTTGGGTAACGATATGCGTTCAATGAAATTTTAATATTTATAAGAAGACTGACGTTTAACTATGTTTGAAAGACAATAACATTTGATTGAACTGTTGCGATAACAACAAACATTCTATTCCTGTAAGAATTCCCTTTAAAAAGTACTTTTCTCGTCTGTACGTTCAACTTAAAATGAATTTTTATCCATGAAAGGCTAAAATGAAATACAATTTTATACATACACCCTATACAAAATGTAATTTTATCGTAATTTAAAGTTATGCTGACTGTAGCAGTATGAATAAATCAGCGCAACAACATTCGATCGTTAATTATTACGACATTTACGATTTGAGTAACGAAAATGTTCACATTACCATTAAGGAATTGTTAATTACTTGGGAACTCGTGATCAAACTCATAGACGCAAGAACGAATGAGTAAAATAATGTTCGATAAGCATAAAAGGGGAATAATCACTTTATAGTATTTGCTACTCATCACTGATTCTCTGCGATCTCAGTGTCGTTCGGGAGGGGAAAGTGCAAGAATGAACGATCGAGCAATGTTTGAGCTGGAGAAGCGATCGACTAAAGACATTACTGCGTTTCGAAATCGTAAGCTAGACACTCGACTGTGAGATCGGTCTAAAGTTAAGTAAAGTTCAAATCAAGCGCGCCACCAACTTTGCCCATTAATCTCGCGCGTTTCGAAGTTTAAAAAGAGTGAGAGAAAGAACAACGTTTGAGGGGTCAGAGTGGAGGGGGCGAGGACGAGGAGCTAGATATATAATAGATAGGAAGAAGGATGGGTAGAAAGAAAAACTGAGAGTGATAAAAAGATATTCCAAGAACGTTTAAGGGTGACCGATGTGCAGAGACTTGACGCGGCTTCGTGAGGGAGACGTAGGGGGGAGGTGGCAGCAGAGCTCTCGCAGCCGAGTCAACATATAATTGAATGGAAGGGGTTACGTGTGAGATTTCGACAAAAGAGGAACTTTCCGTACGATGGAAAATGTATCTCCATTGCACCCCGAGAAAAGATTATCCGCTAGACACTATCACCTCCCCGAGCATGAAATTGAAACGGGACAGTGAGAGAGCGAGACGGACTGCGATATATATATATATATATATATATATATATATATATAAAGAGAGAGAGAGAGAGAGACAGAGAGAGAGAGAGAGAGAGAGAGAGAGAGAGAGAGATCCTATTTCCAGTAGTTTGGAGAGAATCGGTGCTCAATGGCTTTTCGGTCGACAGGCGGGCAATACTCGCTGGTGGAGAAGAGATTTCTTCTGGCAACTGCGCCGCTAGTCGCTCGTAGATTCGATGACTGGCGGAATAGATTGCGAGATCCATATCGTTCAATCGTACCGAGTGAGACACCTAGTGTTCGAGCCCTCCCCTTCGCGGAGAATCACCGGAAATATCAGGAACAGCCTCTTCTCTTTTTTACACCCTCCCTCCACCACAACCAAAACCACCACTATTCAATGCCGCTCTCTTATTATTAATTTTTTTTTTCTTTTCTTATTGAAACTTCCCCTTTCTCATCTTTCCTTTATTTCAACGGAGTTTCTTATGTAGGTTAAGAAGCCCCGGAAGTAATTGCACAAAATATCTTATTGGCTCAATATCTCTTATACGTCTGCTATTTTTTTCTTCCCTATCGTTCGATGCAGTGATTGGAGAGAGTGCAATTGTTAATAGGAGTACCTCTTTTTCAACCCCGACTGATTATTCGACGTTATTGGAAGTATTTAAGTTAAGGCACTTTTTCTGTTGCTCCTTTATCTCTCAAATTTACCAAATTTACATCACATCGACAGCTCCAAAATAATAAAAATTCCCTTATCCACTGCCCAACCGATTAAATTTGACTTTATCGTTCAATTGAATTTCTTAGTCGATAATTTCATTAGGCTACTTAAAATTCTTATATTTCCATTATTCGTAGTATTAAGAGACCACGATTTCATATCTTACAATATTTACGTAAATTATTGAATCATGGATCATAAAAGTTCGCTCACCATTACGAAAAAAGTACATAAAACCTCAGTGTCGTAATAATGCCAAATCGACACAAATGTGCATCAAGCGAAATATTCGCTAGATATGTATTAAATGTATTGCTATTAATAGCAGTAGAAATGCAATAATATAACGAACATTGCCAATATCGCGTAACGCTAACTAACTAAATTTAAAACTTAAGTGCCAAATTACTTTAGCCCTCTAGTACGCGCCAATAATAATAATATGAACAATGAGTTCGAAGCAACAACTGCGATAGGAAAATGTAGCCGACCGTGATAAGAGATAACGACTTTGGTAATCTCACACGGTGAAAAAATTTCGGACAAATTTCGGCGCAACGTATCGGTTCCTTTGATGAAAACTTAATACGGCTGACTAGATTATTATCATAGCCACGAGGTATTTGAGATTCTCGCACACGGTACTCGAGCTTTCGTTTATGAATATACATTCCGTTTGTTCGAACGCGCACGGTTTTGCTCACCTCGTTCATAAAAGCAGAGAAAACTCGGAAAAGCAGAGAATGCTTTCGCGGACTCGCTAGTATATACTAAACTGCAATTCGTTTGTTTCACAGATAAACTTGTTTGGCCGTGGCTCATACGTGAGTCGGGCTTAGTTGAAAGCCATCACGAACACGTTCGACAAGAGGTGCTTTGTGCACAAATGCTTTCGGTCGATGCGTAGGGAGATCGATAAATCCGAGAAGAAAGAAGAATAGGAGGCTGCAAAGGTATACAAGGTCACGGTGCAATTGATTGTGGGTGATTAACCGGGCGATGAAAGTCCCGAATAAATATACTTGGTCACTGGAACAGCGATGCTCCCATCGAGGACAACGATGTTGCAGCTGGACGCGCGACGATCATGACACGTCGCTACGACTTACGGCCGAGCTCCGAGATAATTAATTGCGATGAAGCAGAAGCCAAAGCTCCGTAGGCCGAGATCAATTTTCAATTTGTCGAGGATTCAAAATACAATGCTACACCAAACTATCGGGCGATGGAAAATCTAAACGGCAATTTTATCATTTTCAAGTGGAAACCTTCGGATAGAAGGATCGAACGATTATCCATTGTTTCACATCACATCACAGATTCGAGAGACCTACGACGATTCATTAATTGCGCGGCAATTAATGCCGAGCGACAAATCACATCTAATCTTGAAAGTGATAACAAAATTGAATCCCAATAAGCGAGCCGCATTAACGTCCAACCGTAGCTTTAGATTGGAGAAGCTTCAGTCGCGAATGCGCTTATCCGTAAGCGCATTTAATTTTCAACGAGGACCCAATAATTCGCCACGGTGTGCGGTCTGGGGCGTATTCTTGGCTACATCGGCGGCAAGCCGGTGAGCCCCGCCATGTCGCAACCTGGCTCGGACTCCGGTTTAAGCGTCAATGGAACAGTTGGACAAACCCAGTCTATGTCGGAGGATGAAACGAGCCAGGGACGACAGAACGGCCGCGCGTCAGCCGATATTATGGGGGAAAAAACGAAGGCCGACCTATCGAATGGCTTCGAGTCTCGTGGAAAGCAACATCGTTCTCAGCAGATTCACGCTACAAACGAGACAAATCAGTCAAGGCAAAAGAAGCAAACGATCGCGAAGAATCAGATACAGCCACTTCAGCAACAAAATCCACAACAACAGCAGCAGCAGCAGCAGCAGCAGCAGCAGCAACAGCAACAACAGCAACAGCAACAACCGACGGCGTCGCCTCAGCAGCATCAGCACCAGCAGCACCAGCAGCACCAGCAGCAGCAGCAACAACAACAACAACAACAGCAACAACATCAACAACAACAACAACAACAACACATTGAAGAACGATCTGACTCTGTGCCAGTATTACTTACTCACCAGCCGTATCACGACAATATAGTAATCGATAGGGTACAGTTTTTACCACAGGGTACAGCACAGACAATTCCCGTACACGCAGCTCAATTTGCACCCGAATACATAATAGCCGCGACCGGGGAATCCTTACAATATTCCCAAATTCACGGTAATATGTACAATCCCAGTCAGGGTCAATACGTTTCGCGAGATCTTAATTTGCGAGATTCGAATCTCTATACGCAAAATGTGGCGTTGGCCGCTGCTCAAGGTAGTTATGTTCAGCAAGTGTCGCAGCCTCAAATGTCCTCGACGACCGGGCATTACACTAATAAGGGCATCTCGCTTCCACCTTCGGTCACTGCTGGATACGTTCATTTTGCACCACAGATTCATTACAATCAGTATCCGCAAACTATAGTAAATACAACGCCATACAATTCCCAACAAAATATCTATCCTCAGCCGTATAATCAACAAATTCAGCAGTCATCGTCCGCCCAGCATTCGCCAAATCCGCAAAGATTTTCACAAGAGTTAACGCAATACCAGGGCCAGCCCATTATACAGCCGATTGCACAAAATATCGGTCATGCACTTGTATCCTGTAATAATGAAAGGAGCTGCTCTCGTGGACCCAAGCCCATGGTTCCACCGCGCGGAAATTCCAAAATTACTCACGAATCTGGGCATCGGAAATCCGCGAGCATAGACGGGCCGACGGGACAGAAAGCCAAGGTGGCCGAGAACAATGTCAGCGATGAGCAGCAAGCGGCCCAGCAAGATTTGCAGCATCAACAACTATGCGCGGGTCTTGATAATCAAGATAAGCGATATCTGGTCGCTATCAATCAAATTCCGCGCACGAGACAAGATGGACTGTACGTGGATGCAAATGGAGAATCATCGAGAGATCAGTCGGTTGGCAATGACACGGGAAATACGGATTGTGGACTCTACGTCTCCAGAATGGAGCACAGGAAGTCGGCTTCGGTAGACGTGACCAATAGCTTTTCGAGGCGTAACGATACGCTAACCTTCGCATTCCCTTGCGACAATAACATCCAGCAGGACTCGATGTTGTTAACTACTCGTAAATCAATTGCTAGTGTAAATATTGGCGACAACAAAGCAATCGACGTTAACGCCTCAAATTTTCCTGCGGAACAAAGAAGATTTGACGTGAGCTCGGGACTGCGCGTGTCACCCATGCCTGTCCTACCTCCCTTAACTGTCGTGCCCAAAGGCATTTTAATAAGTGGAGATAGAAAATCAATGGAGTGGACAAATATGAGTCCTAATCAACGTATTGGTATTCCTCAAGAGAATAGACGATCGGATTATTTGGATGAGCATCGACGGTCGCCCATGACGAACGATGGCAAGCGATTCGAAGAAATCCGTAGATCCCCGATGGCTTTCGTACCGATACGCGATACAAATACTCCAGATCGCATTAATCAGAAGAGCCCGAGTAATTTGACGAATCAGAATTTTGAGAAGACAAGAGCGGATCTAGCGATGTGGAAAGAACAACGACAAAGGCAGGAAATCGAGGGCCGAATAATGCAGAGTCGCGAAATCTTCTCCACGAGTCCGCGCTCTCGCAATTCATCCGAGGAACGGCGAACCGAAAGTAGATTGTCAGCATTTCAACCAATAGCGAATATTAGTCAAAGTTCAATAATGGAGCAGCGCCGCCATTTGCGTCACGTGAGTGCCGATCTTACGAAGCATATGGATCTCGCGCGAAAGGAATTCGACGAGCAGCAATTAACGGGCTCGGTTATTAATCTTGGCACGACATCGACAACCACACCTGTCACCAATGTCGTCTCGCAGCGTTCGAGCCCCAATGTTTGCTACCAATATTCCGCTCTCAACGACGCGAAACTCGATGCAAAAGTGGCATTAACAATTGTCACGGATTTCAACGACGCGCCGCCAAAGCCGTACGATAATGTCGATCATATTATCCACAGTCATCGTAAGAGTCAAAATTTATCGGCAACTATTAGCAAAAGCCAAGATAATGCGCAAAATCATTCGGAGCAAGCCAATGATAAGAGCGAGCCTCAACAATCGCAGTGCCAGCAGATAATGCATAATCAACAAAGTATCGACTTGATATCGGAAAAGCTCAGCCAATGCGAGCGGCAGCAGAGTGACTTGCAGGCAAAATTACAAAGCTTGCAGAATCAAAACGAAATCCTCGACAAAGTCACCCAGTTTCAATATCAACAAACCGATTTACAAACCCGAATACATAACCTCCAATTACAAAATCAGATAGCGGAAAAGCTCGGCCAGAAGCACAGCTCGGAATTCTCACAATTAAGTAGTCACAGCGACCAAGACGAAACGAACAAATCAATCCTGAATCAATGTATCAACGCCTCGCGTCACCTATACCAGCAATCTTTATTAACAACGGCAAATTCTCAGCTCCAATCATCGGGCTACTTCAGCTCCGAGCGAGTGTCACCCCGACTACAATACCAGCAGCAAGTCCAGGACGAATCGGACCTCAGCAATTCTATCCAAATACCAAATATTTCCCAAATGCCACTGCCCAGTCTCTCGCAATTCGATCGTGCCGATTTATTGCCACGTGGCTCGCTATCGCAACTCCAACGCGTCCAATCATCGTGCGATAATAACGAGAACATTGCCTGCTCGCAGATGAACATGGCGTCATTGTGTACCTTAAATTTCACTGGGACATTAAAAAAGATTCCGCCCGAGAAGCCTCCAAGAACATCCCTTATTGTACAGTCGCCAGACACGGAGGTAAATGTGTTAGATAAACAAGTGTTTGGCATTATATTTATGTGATTGTCAGTGTTACATAAATTTATTAAGTCTAAGCAATAACGCGACAAGGCCGTTCGCCTGACGACATTTCCTTTAAGAATGCATGATGCACGATTTGCTACATATTGACAGATCGATATATAGATATATAAACGTGTGTATTATTTTTTAATATTATACTTATTATTTATTAAATAGCATTATAGATCTATGTTATGGCTTTATTTTATTTTACTTACTCTATGATTTTATATTGTCATACTTGTGCAGCGATTCGGCTATCTAATGTCATTAATTTTAATAATGTTACAGAGTAATCGAAGCCAGCCGGCTATTGGTTTGAAACACACGTCAAAGGCGAGGGTAAGTACATTACAAACATAAATCAAAATTAAATAAAGTTAAGTACATTAAATAAAAATTACTATTATGGAAATGCCTTACTTTTCTAAACTTCCAGCCTTAAATTGCTAATGCAGTCTGTTGGCCCAAATTAAGTATTTAAATGAACCTATGAAATTTTACTGATTTAATTGATTTACGATGTGTTATTATGTCTGGAATAAAAAGAAAATATCTTGTCAAATAGTAAATTCCGTTCGAGCATCAATACTTTCCCTGGCTTTGTTACTAAGAACAAAGAGAACGTGGTCGAACGATAGTAGGGAAGAGAGAAAAGTCAAACAAAATGAGATGAAAAAAGCAGGGATAATAAAAGAAAAAATGATGAAATAGAGGACGAAATAGGAGAAAAGAGTCGCTGCCTTTCTCTGTGCGTCCCTTGAATACTGATACATAAAACACTTCCGGTTCACGTACAAATGTCCCTACCGCACGTCTCACGAAAATTCCAGTGCCATTTAGGCACATATTCTTAGTGTTTCGATATATGTAAATGCGAGAAAGAAGGAAAGATGTCGTTTTTCGTTTCGTTAAAAGTCATACATTTGAGTACTATGACTTTGTATTGCTTGTAGTTTTTTTTTTTTTTTTCGTTTCATTGTCCACTGTCCCACACACATCCACGCCAGAGTATATTTAAGCAGAAGTATTGTGTTGGTGCCATAGCTATTTAATTTATCTATTGGAAAGAAAATAATAAAATGAAATGAAGGTAAGGAAAATAAGTAAATTTATAACTTAATTTTAATTAATGTTTGTAAATTAGGATGAGAGGGCGGGGAGGGCGGGGATATTGAAAATATGATGCTTATCGATTATATTTTAATAGATATAATATTTATTTCAATTATTTGAAACGTCGATAATTTTTACATCATTGGTTTATTAAATGCAGCGATATTCTACGAATGGCAACAAGGAGAATCGAATTTTCTTCAATAATTGAAAATATAAATTCATTTCACATTATTGAAATTTCATACACTAAATGGACGATATAGTTGTATTGAATATGCATAATAAAAAATCTAGTATGTGTCAATTTGTCTAGTATATGTCGAATTTTTTTTTTATTTTACAAATTATTTCCAAGCATTACGAGCGTGTAAATGTAATGGTAATAAGAATAATAATGTTAATAATAAAATGATTTTTCACAGAAATTCAATAGTTTTAAGTATGATATATATATATATATATATATATATATATATATATATATATATATGTATATATATATATGTATTTAAAATAATACGTATTTATATGCAAAAGTCTTATAAATATTCTTATAAATATTTTTATTTTCATTATATTAATTGAACCATGATAAATTCAATCTTTTTTTTACGAGTTTTTTTTCACATGACCTTTGAGCCCCGATGTATATATTCGTTAATTCCACAAATATATTTTTTCAAAAATGTCAAAGCAAAATCAAATAAAACTTCAATACTTTTAATATCAAAGACTTTTCTTTATTTTTTTTTTTTTTTTTTTTTTTATTAAATAAAAGGTGGAATATATTATGTATACAGTTCAGTATGCTTATAATGAATAAAAACTTAATAGTTGTATAAAATTAGTCTTAAAATAGCAATTAAAAATTCAATGAAATTGAATTTAATTTTAATACGCAAAGAAGTTATAGAATTATTTTGAATTTTAAAGTGAAGTAAACAGATATTTTATCGGAGTCGTATGATAATAAAAATTTGTAATTATTGTATCATTGTAATATTTGAGATTATAGTTGTGATATTTTAAGAAGTCATTTTGAAAATGATTATAGTTAAAATTAATTGAAAAAAATAATATTATTAATTAAATTTACTACGACTGTTGATAATAATGATTGCTGAAATCGTATTATTATTAGAAAATTATATAATTATTCTGTAATAGAAATAAGCTGGAACAATAATAATATTCAATAATACTACTAATTTGGAATATTTATATCCTATAAGTACTTAAATAATTGTATGCGAAATCATTAATATTTTACACTATTCGTTCCTAAATAAATGGATATATATATATATATATATATATATATATATACGTGCGCATATGGATATCTAATAAAGAAAAGAAAAATTTCATTTTTTTAAACAATGAAAAGCGCACTTGAAAACCTCAATAAACAAATTTACATTTTAACTAAAAGAATCATTGATTTTCATGTATTTACTCGATTAATGAAATGGAGATGAGTAAAATTTCAAGAATACTTTTACTTCGATTGTTAATTTCATCTCTTTTTCCATGATTTAGCTTTCTAAGGGGAAGACTTTTTGCATTAAACATGTAAGTATTATACGAAGTATCGTATAAAATTTCCTTATTCCTTAAGCTCTGGACTCAATAAATCCAATCTAGCGTACAATACCTTTTTTCAAAGTGCTCTAATAAATTTTACACATTATTTTGATCCTTGATTCATCGTCGATTTTATCGTACAAAATTTTTACTTTAAAATTGTGTTCTATAGGCTTCTTCTCTGTTAATTGTACTCGTATTCAATGAATCAAAAGATAGATAGATAGATAGATAGATAGATAGATAGATAGAGAGAGAGAGAGAGAGAGAGAGAGAGAGAGAGAGAGAGAGAGAGAGAGAGGGTAGAAACCTCGACATCGTGTCGATATAGACTCAAGTGGTTTGGAAATCTTATGGTCGACACAATCACAACAGGAAACTGGGTAAAATCCTCGACGATCCCTTCGCTTTTCATTAACCTTCCGGTAGTCGGAGCCATAAAGGAAACCGACGATAAAACGAGCAAGATAAAAATGTCTAGTCGCTGACTGAGAAGAGAGCGAGTCCTAATGTTGACGAAATTATTTAGGTTACAGAGGGCGCGGTAGCGTGAATTTAACGATAATTATTACCCTGATTACGCGATCGTGAAATACCGCAGGACGCATCAACGGTAACCAAGTATTCGTGAGTTTTTGTCACGGCTGGTGATGATGGCGGTATGGCTTGCACGAGCTCGAGGTAGGGACGTGGAGTGCTCGCGCGCTAAGTGGCTACGTACACAGGACTAGTGGGGTCCTTGAACGCTGACGAGACTCGAGGCGTCATTATTCCATGGCGTTTGTATTAATCCCGTGCGCGTACGATGGCTAATTAAATGTACGCTCCCCTCATTTCATGGGTCTTTACGTGCTTTGGACAGACTTTGTTTCCTGACTTGCTCATAGCGCTCACTCCCATTCTGCGCTTTTTTTTTTTTTTTTTTTTTTTTTTTTTCGACATTGTTAATACTCGTGATAGTGGTTACTGCTCTTTAATATACACTCGGAGGGATTTATTTTTATTTTTTGTTATTTTGCCTCTCGAATGCAGGCATTTTTGCTACTTGTAATATTCTCTGGCTCGATACAGCCTTCTATATAATGGAGCGTGTGTACTTGAAATGGGCGGCAACGTGGCGGTTGCGACGTACAGTATCTGAAATATAGTGGGAATAGGGTTGGAGAAAAATTTACAGCCGAAGCTATGCATTACGTTGGATTTTGCTTTCGAATTTATGGACATTGCGCAGCTCATAACGCGCTGCTCCTTTCATTCTCGAAGCTCCCATTTCCTAATATTCCATTAAATTGTAAACAATTTTCTTAATATAGAGAAGTATTTTCATTTGAATGTCATGCCTTGTTATTGAAACATTTGATTATTGTCTATTATTGCCTGTCTCTTGTATTATGTAATTTTGAAATCTTTTCTAATTTCTTTTGTAATTCACGTTGAAATCAAGACATTATCATGAGCATGACTGGGACAACGAATGTGTTATTTAATAATCCGTGAAATTTTATTACACCAAGTAGTGACAAAAAAATAATAATCATTAGAAAAATCTTTTATCCATTTAATCTGATCCTGAGCGTGTAGAAAATTTTGAAATAATCTTATCGGATTGAAGTGAGGATTCTCTGCTTCTAACTGTAATGGAGTAACGACTTACCAATCTAGTCTGGAATATGCCCTACTTCTTTTTAGGACTGGAATGAGAGTTTTAGATATGTTTCTAGATGGAATTTTCCCTTAATATTCTCATCAAAGATAAAGAGAAAAAGAGAAAAAGAGAAAAAGAGAAAAAAAAATGAAAGATGAAAAATCAGACTTTTTCGAGTATGCTTTATGAAATTTATTATTATATAATGTATATGAAATGTTATGAAGAATTCCAGAATTCGACAAACATCTCATATTGATAAAAGAAACAGTTTAATATTGAGTATATATGTACAAAGGAAATTATTTTGCTCTTAAAAGTCCAAAAATTTAATTACCCCCCCCCCCCCCCCCCACCCCCACCCTTCTCACTCGCG